AGGGTGTTGGAGGGTCTGGAAGGTGTTGGTAATGGCCCAGAGAGAAGATAACCAAGTTTTGATGCAACAGCAGTGGGTCCCTGACCACGAATTACTTCATCTTCTACTATATCCCAGTAATGGTCGGCTCCGATAAGCAATGATATACGAAAGTCCTCTTGAGCTGTAATAGGATGGGCTAGGGTTAAATTCTTCAGGTGGGGCATATCGTTTATATGTTGACGAGGTGGAATTTGGAGGGGCGTTGCTATCTCCTCAACTACAAGAACTTGTAATGGAATTTGTTGTCCAGTACGGGTGATGATATAAACAGTAGCAAGTGGTAGGTGACGTCTAGCTGAGGTTTGGGCTCCAAAGGCTGATAGTGCAATTTCCTCTGTTTTGGAGGACATAACTCCAAGCTGGTTTGCTAGGTCAGTAGTAATAAAAGACCGTTGAGCTCCTTCATCAAGAAGAATATTGGCATCACAATGAAGTTGCCCAGTGCTCACAGTTGCAATGGCTGTTTTCAAAAGTGAAACATGTCTTACTGTTGGAGAATGGGTGGATGGGACCAGAGTTGCATGGGTGGGTGTTGGCTGTGGTGTATTTGGAGTAGTGGGAAGGGCTTGTTGATTGTTGGGATTTTGGTGGATAGGAGGGGGTGGAGGTGTTATTGGAGGGGGGTTAGGAGGCATCATTGAATGAGGGCATAGGGTGGTGTGGTGTTTCCCCTTACATTTCAGACAACGGAACTTGGATTGGCAGTTTGATGATTTATGATTTCCCAAGCAATTGAAACACAGTTTTTCCCTTTTCGCTATTGTCCACCTCTCTTGGCAGTCCTTTACAACATTACAATTGTAGGTGGGGTGAGGACCCTTGCAATATACACATCGTTTAGTAGTGTGTCCCGGCTTGTATCTTGTGGTATGATGTTGGTTTCCTTGTGTTTGTGTGAAAAACGAACCTGTTGTTGTGTGTTTAGGTGATGGCAGTGTAGCTTGCATTAGATTGGATTGAACACCGGCTTCTAGAATTCTTATTTCTTTACGAATGGACTCTCTCAGTTGTGTAAATTTCCATTCGGGACTGTCATGGTCACGGGCTAAGTTTGTTCTGAGTTGACGTGGTAATTTTCCCAGAACAATTGGGACTAGGAGGTCTCCATAGTTACTGTGGGCTTTGCCGAGCGATTCTAACCCCCTAATGTGGTTTTCCATAGTGTCATAGAATAGTTGTAAACTTGCTAGTTCATAGTTGGGGTTTGGCAGATCAAGTAGACACTGCATGTGTGCATTAATTACTTTGGTGGGGTTACCAAATCGTTCCTTTAGGAGTTGAATAGCTTTGGTATAGTTATGGTTTGTGAGGGGAAACCCTGCAATAGCTCTTGATGCATCACCCAGCAGTTGGGCCTTAAGGTAACTAAACTTTTGTACATCCCCAAGGGTTGAATTGGAGTGGACTGCAGCTTCAAATGAGTCCCAGAATGTAAACCATTGTAGCGGGTTCCCAGAAAATGTTGGAAGGTTTAATTTTGGTAGACGACTATTTTGATTGATAAGGCTGGGGTGGTGAGGTGTAGTTGTTGGTAGGGTTGGTGGAAATACTGGTATAACTGGGGTCTCTTGTTGAAATTGTGTGTTTGTAGCGGGGTGACCATCTTGTTGTGACTGTGCATTTGTAGAGGGTTGACTATCTTGCTGTGATTGTGCATTTGTAGAGGGTTGACTATCTTGCTGTGATTGTGCATTTGTAGAGGGTTGACTATCTTGTTGTGATTGTGCATTTGTAGAGGGTTGACTATCTTGTTGTGATTGTGTGTTTACAGGGGGGGAATTATCTTGTTGAACAATTTCATTAGGGGTCCCTGAGTCTGTTTGATCATTTGTGTTCACTGTTGTTGATGGGGATTGACTGCTTGTATTTTCTAAGATTACTTGAGTTACTTCAGAGGGGGAGTTACTTTGAGACAATTTTGTAGATTGAAAATGTTCAATAGTGTTACTTATCTGAGCTGCTGTCTCGTCAATTTCTTCTTTGATGTCCTCGGTTTGGAATATTTCTCTCTCCAGTTCCTTTGGGTCTTCGATCATGCCTACGATTTTCTCATCTAGTTCTTCTAGAATCGACCTTTTCCGAGCTAATTGATCAACGATTCTCTTTAAAGATGTAATATCACTGTCCGTTAGGGGATCCTCCTTCGTTGCAATATTTGTAGCTTTCTTGATTGTTTGTGTCAAATGGGCCCGATAGCCCGCTCGCGATGCTTGAAGTTTTGGTAGATTTTCCGCCATAATCCAGGTCACGGCACCAATTAATGTAGAGTAGAATGTGTATGACGGAAATAGAGTACTTGACTTCGTTTAATAGAGTAATATGCATAGAAATAGTACAACCTTTATAGTAGAATATAAACCAAATACGCTATAGTTTTAGTCAATCTCTGAATCGAGCACATGTAAATATCATCATGCGCATGCGCTAAAGTCCTGAGCTATATACTGTATACTGGAATGTTCATATTTCTTCGACAATAATTTCACGGTTTTGATATTAACTTGCTTTCATATAAACTTGCTTGCGTGTTGCGTTAATATATATAAGTATAAACTTGTGAATTACGCCAACGTAACGAATTGAAAAAATTCAATGTCAAAATGCTGAAAGCAATCTGCAGCGAATTAGAAGTACATATATATATATGCAAAACTTTATTATTATTATTATTATTAAAGTAATATTTTAACAGCTTCCATCACATACGTGGTTTTCAGGGAGGTTCTGCAAATAAATTACAATATAGCTAATAGTAATATGTTATAATATATCTTTCTGAAGTATATGTACTAGGAAATTACGATGTAAAAAGTAAAATAAGTCACTACTATAATCCAAAGTTCTTGATATGTTTAAAAGTTATAAGGAAATCGTTTTCTCAAATAGAATTGGGTAAATTGTTCCAATCCTTAAAAATGTAATCTCTATTTTAATGAAAATCTCTATTTTAGTCTGTCACGAATGAAACAGACTAAATGTAATTTTTCTAAATATAGAAACATTTCTATATTTAGAAAACATATTTTAAAAAATTATAGATTCCTTGATACTTAGGACATACCAAGCTACTATTGTTCGGGAGGATACAGGTTTATCATGATATTTGTTTGATGGAAGCAAAATCTTCCAAGGCTGTAAATATCTCTATCGTGCACAAACCCGCCCTGTACGTTTGACAGTCGAATTATTTGGCTGGTCAGCGGCCTCCGCCATAACAACAACAAAATCGAGTTATATAAACGCAGCCGTTCCGCACGTTGTAACCAATAATTTATTGGCGTTGTAATGCCATTGTATGCAATAAAGTATTGGTTACAATGGATTTACAATTAATCCAAACGCTAATCCTAACTCAAACCCTAACCCTAACCCTAATCCTAACCCCTAACCCTAACCCCACCTCCTAACCCCTAACCCCACCTCCTAACCCCGCAACCTAACCGCAAACCCTAAACCCGGCCTGCTACCCCTCCGGGGAAATAATCATTAAGATATCGAAAGTGATTAACACTAAAGAATAATGGCAGCTAACGAACGTCAAATAATAAGTTTTCCTGACAATTCGGGTCATTAAATGACAAGGCTGTCGATCGAGGCATACTTTGTATCAATATAAATATATTGGGGTAGGTTTTCTCTTGACTTTTTAAATAAATCTTCAAAATAAATCGATGTTTGATAATTTGTTGACTAACGGACGTCTTTACATGATGCAAATGTATAACTTGTCTTGATTATATTCAGCTAGAAAATGTTTATTATTTATACAATACGGTCCATTACGTCCATAAATAACGGAAATGCCTGTGTCAGTGCTTTTCCCTAAAAGACTTTAGACAACAGTAAAGGTCAAGCGAATGTCCATCACTGTTCTAGGTCCAATAATATGTAAAATTTTGCTCTTTCAAAGCAGAGTTTACAGTAAACATGAACGTTCTTATTTACTCCAAACTGCCGAAAGTCGAAAATGTTGATGTTTTGTTGGCCTGTATTATCTCCAAAATTTACAGGCCGCAATAGTTTATTTTATATTATGTAAGACCAACCTTTAATCTCACCATACAAATAATATTACATTCATAGCAAGTCTAACTTTTGAATTTTAGGGTTTTTATTTCACCCATTTTTAAGGAACTTGGAAATTTCTATTTTAGTCTATCATGAATGATGTCATTTCTATATTTAGAAAACAAATTTGAAAAATTTATAGATACCTTGTTACTTAAGACATATAAAGCTACTATTGTCTGGAAAGATTTAGTTTTATGATTATTTTTGTTTGATGTACAGAGGTTTAAAAATAAGCAAAAATCCACTATTGAGAAACAGCAAAAATCGTAATTTTTCCCCTCAACTTGACCCCCCTGGAACTTTGCCAAAATGCAATTAGACTGAAAACAAAATGCATTTTGAAACAACCCTTATAAAGGCAATCTCAACTACAAAGTTTGAGAGAAATCTATTTGTTGATCCAAAGAGGTCATGAGGTTCTTACAGAGACTGCCTCTTAAGTCCTAAAGGTCCTGTTACACGGTGCAATTTTTCATGCAACTTGTCTCGCAATGGCGTTGCGAGACAAGTTGCACGAGTCATGCTGTGTGTTTCATTGATATGTTTAAACATAATACACAAAGAGAAATAAACTTTATATTAATTTTAAACGATGTTTGAAATCCGAATAACTAAATACGGCTCAAAGTTTGAATAATAATTAGCACCAACCTCGTCCCCAAGGTCTTCCTCGTGGTGGCGCGTGAGCTGAGGAAGACCCACTGAGCTGTATAATAACTGGAGGACCTGCTCCTATACTTCGTTCAGTCAACAAAGTGTCCGCAAAAACATGGCGGATTTTGAGTGAAAATGACGCCATTTCCATGACAACACTTACTTTATTTTCATGGTAGGTACCACTGACCAGGCTCAATTCTGAGCCCACTGCCGTTTTCACACCCCCCTGGTTTTTACAAAACATTTTTGCAGATAATATAGTTCTCGACTTCTTGTTGTTTTGAATCCTTTTTTAAAATGTTTTCGAGATAAACTTTCTGCCTTTGACCATTTGGTCAAAGATATCCAAGTCGTACGTGTTTAATCTCGCCCGTGAAAGACGACAAACTAATTTTAAAAACTCAAGAAATGTGGGAAAAGACGATACTTGAAATATATGGATTTACACTCGGATTTACAAAGGTAAAAAACGTATTTTCATATTTAATTTTATTTAGACTTTTATATCTTATTTGACATCTACTATCAGACTTATCTTTTAAAAGAGGGAATTAGGTTTTGTGTTATGCACCACTTAATTTTATGTATAAGCTGGGGGTGCTGGAAGCTGTCAGCTGATCTGGGAATTAAGGTGGTTTCTACCTAGCTTTCTTGCATGGTTGGGGATACTTCTTGATTTTTGTGTCATATAAATAGTAATATAGAGGCTTGAGATAAATCACTTTTCCCTAAGCTGAGGTAATAAGGTTTAGTTGAGGTGTGTGCCAAGGCATTACATGTGTCAGTGTGATCGCACCTCATTCCCAGGATGGCCTGTTTTCTTACAAGTTTTCTCAGTAAATATCACTCTGAATCAACAATGTACTTTATAAGTACACTCATAGTTCTGATACCCATGGTTTAAGCTGAGGAGTATGTTAGGTCACATTCTTTTGTTACCTTGATCATATGCTATAATTATGTTACTGGTGGATTCTTGTACAACCTGTATAATTAATCTATTCTTTTTTATTGCAGATTTATTCCACAATGACACACTCCTTTGTGGGTGGCAAAATACAGTACCAAGCCACATCTTTGGAAACTGAACATACTGTATTTTACATGCTTCCAGAAATTATGTCACCTTGGCTATAGGCTATAGAGTAATTTTCATGATTCAGACATGCATTGGACTAAAACTCATGCCACATACATGAAAACAAGGCTCCATAGCCAAAGTGACATACATTCTGGAAGGGTGTATTTGACTTTTTGTAAAATTATTAGCAGTAAACAATTTAAAAAACAAAAATGTATAATTTTAATTGCTATAAAACTTATTTACACTTCAATAAAATTATGATAATCATATAATTATTTATTAATTATAATAATTGTTATGCATGGTATTGTAATTATAACTTCATTTTGTAATTGTTCTGCATGTTCTTCTGCATGTTGATGCCTGTGCCATCTCTTTTGTATATTAAACAGATCATTTCTGCAAAAAAAAAGACGACATTATCATGATACATTATACATCTTTACACCACAAAATATCATATACACATATGTTAACCCTTCAAGTGGCAATGTGTTTTGATGTGCCTCACTGTATTATTTTTGCCTTACTGTATTATGTCAGACAATTTTACTAGTCTATTGATCCAAGCTTATAAATTAAGTGTCGTGTTTTCATATTCAGCAATGCAATTACATTCCCAACTAACTGCTAAAATATGTCAAACTATTATTAGCAAATTTTGTCATAATTTCTCACAGAGCAATCGGACATCACCACTTCCAAACTATGACATCATATACTATGTAAACTACATAGTTTTATATAGTTCTGAACAGACAATGGTAAAATGTTATCTATTTTTTAAGACTCTTCCCTTGGTGAGTAAAACATCTGGATTTAGTCTCACCGATAGAGTAAAATAAAACAGGGACTGTGGAGCCTGTTTAAAAAGGGTGGGCAGGATAGCATGGGAGCTAATCCACACAGGCAGGTGCTGTCCAGACTTTATCCGGTAGTTTTTATTCACTGAAAAAGTGGGGGGGGGGGAGCATGCCCCCCCTGTTCTGCAGTCCGGCCGTCCCAGTAAGAAAGTAGCTAGGGTTCATTTGGGTACATAATTTTGCAGCTTAATGGGCTGACCGATATATCTCAGGGGCTGCTCATTGGCAGATAGTGTATTAAATTAACCCACTGCAAGGCAGCAGTGAGCATGAACAGTCTCCTCTTAAAATCATCTGGCATTAGACAGACAGAGTAAAACAATAAAGACAGCTAGTCTTTTATATAGGGCTCATCAGAACAGGGCACATTGTCAAATGTAGGTGGGCCTCCTCTACTCTGGTCTTGTGCTATCTATATATATTAATTCTGCATTATGATGGGCAAGTATATAAATTTCATACCATATTAAACCTTTATGAACATGTAAACAACCACAATTTATACAAGTAATTAAAAACTGGCAGTCTCTGTCTGGCAATAAAACCACAAAGGCCAGTGCTGACACTGAAAACAACATAATTTCATGTAGTACACAATATTTAATCATTAACAATATTGTGAATATATTGCTGTATATATTAATAGGATGATGAGTTTTTGACATAATATATGAAGGGTCTAGTGACCGACTCAGAGTCTCAGACTAGCTAGTCGTCTAGAGTTTAATATAAAAAAGTTTCGTGAATCTTACCTGAAAGAATTAGACTTTCTTTTTAGTTTCTTTGTAGTAAAGTGCTGCATCCACAAGCGAAGCAAACTGGCGTTGTAAAACAAGTAATGTGCGAGGGAAATATTAAGATTTTTGCTCAAAAACAACAGAAAACTTAAAATATCTTTATATTTACTATTATTTTAAATATATCTGTGCAAAAACCAGGGGGGTTAAGGATATCTTCGAAAGCTTAGGATCGCGGTTGGTCAGTGGCAATTACCATGAAAATAAAGTAAGTGTTGTCCAACCTCGTCCCCAGGGCCTATTGAGGAAGGAGGCGAAGCAGCAAAGGCCCTGGTAAAGGCTGGTCACGTGATGCTTCAAATTTTGAATATTTCAGAATATTTAACTTTTCAAACCGGGGGTGCGGGCCGCTTTGGTTTTATCAAACATGGCCGTGCAAAGGGGCGATAGAAGCTTTTGCGACTGAAACTATGATGATAAACTTTTCAACTGACAGTGGAAATAAATATATAGTCTGCGATGTTCTTAAAAAAAATATGGAATATAATCAACAGCAATACTTGTCGAAGATCAAGATTCAAAGAGAAGGGTCTAAACACTGACTGGCAACAGTAAATATTTCTTTTCAGCTTGGAAGCGTGTTTTATAATACTTGTCGTTTGGGAGTCAATAACATACTGTCAGTGAAGAATTTGATTTGGGACTTTGATGTACCTTTATGAAAAGATTACTACTGAATACAAATGTGCATGTAAAATGTGATTAGAACGTTTTAATATGAACAGTTGCACTGTCATTGACTCAATATATTTTAATGTGGGACAAACATTAAAAAAACATTGAAGTACATTAAAGGGCTTTTAGCTTGGTTTTCCACTTTTTTGATACAACTATAGAATACCCACAACTTTCACATCTTACCGCTATTAATTCCTTGTAAACATTGTCAATTTACTCAAAATTGATCTAATATGATTGCCTCATTCTTCAAAACCCCCCAGTCAAATTTGAACCAAACTAACATACTCATATGATTTAATCTCTAAACTTTACCCTTAAACTATTTTGAAGGGATTCTTGTACATATTTATGTGTCAATGAATGTGGAAAAATGGCGAGGTATTCTATAAGCATTCCGGCATGTGTGTTTTTGAACCTTCACTGTTGAGAGAGCATGCCATGGGTTTCCCCAAATTATCTGAGCACTTCAACCAGACCAACAGCTGCCAAATGGCAACTACTATGCTCAGAGGTGTAACTTAACACTTGCCCGGGGCAAGTGAATATCATGATGGGCAAGTAAAAGTTCCCTCTTGGTTGCCCGAACGGGAAAGTTGCTTTGCCACAAAAAGCTGGCCAGCTTTCAGTTCATATTATTGTCGGATAGAATAAAGGCTGTTCGACGACATTGGTTCAAGCTAGCAAATCATCTGCATCAAATTCATCTAAATTGTTTGATTATATTATGCATTGATTCTCTTTTTGGTTATTAAATGTTTATTCATGATATGATAACGAAATATGGCAGGACTTAATTTATGGCAGGACTTAATTTGGGACTTTATTAGTCCTGTTGTCTGTGCCTTCAATTTCTTATTGTAAAACTAATAAAAAAATAAATAAATAATGGTGATTAGTGTTACATTAAATAAGTGTACTTGATTCAAATTTTGTTTAATATGTGAGCCAAAGCTAGATATGAGGTAGTCTAGATCTGAGGCAGTAACATAGCCAATGCCACTAGTCCAATGAGTGGATATGTTGCCTCCCTAATTTATACTGGCCCGCGTAGGTACCCCATTGCCTGATGGCAAGTGGATTTTATTCAGGGCAACCAATTTCCATGTCCAACTTGCCCTGAGGGCAAGTGGTCAAAAAAGTTAAGTTACACCACTGATGCTGTATACAAATTATATACCTGAAAGGTAACTTACATCATATTGTGTCATTTAATTTTTAAATACTAATACTTGTATTCTCACAGTGTATTAATTTAAGATATACAAATGCACTTGTGATGCCCAACGAATTGCCACAAAAAAACCCATAAACCACAAATCAGTCAATTTCAGTAAGTCTAAGGGCACACTGGGGCACATTGCAGCTCAATGGGTTAACTAGAGATATTGTCAGATTTTGGTTAATAACCATAATTGCAAGAGGTCAGTACAGTCTGTAACAATAAGTAATTCAGGAATTCACACAATTCTCAACAGTTAAATGATTATCGGATTTCATGTTAAATGATTATCGGATAATGTTGAGCATCAAGAATATATGTATAATATCCTTCATACATCTATAATAATATTCAGGCTAAATATCATGGTTATTATTTTATGTACAGTACTATAGTTGTATCAGGTATAAAGATACGAGGTGAAGCCAAGTATCTTTAGGTCTGATAAAGCATACACTGCAAATGTTTTAAATTGCTCAACTGATGGTCACCAACAACAAATAGTACTTTATTACAAGGCGGCAAAATGTATTTAAATTAAAAGAGATGAATAATCTTGTCACTTGATACATTTGACACCAGGCCGGTGTCTTGTATTTGTCCATAAGAGACCCCTTGTTATTGTATCATGTTTTGAGAATGAGTTCAATTTTGATATTTGTTGTTGATCTGAGCAAAATATTGATTATTGATTTGCCTACTGAGGCACACAGTATTGAACAGTCAATTGTGGTGAGTGATGCTGAACTGCCTGTTGTATGTTGTGAGTGATTTTGAGTGCCTGTTGTGATGAGTGACACTGAATTGCCCCAATTGTGGCTCAGGAAATGTACCTGTTGACTTGTCAAATAATCTCCTTAAATAATGTTCTGGGAAGTAATTTGTGTAATTGATTACAAACAAAAACAAGGGCTTGTTAACAGTATAATGAGGAAATTAATTCCATCTCATTATATTATTCAGCCTTGATAAAGCATATGGAGGCTTTCTGTCTGATTTGACCCTCATGCATGTAATTGTTTGGGAATGCCTGATCATTAAGATCACAACATTTGTTTTGAGGCTTGGCCTTTGAAATCTAAACCCAAAGCACTATATGTATGTTCACAATGTTCTTGGGATAAGAATGAAAATCAAATAAAATATTTCAACTCAATTAAATTCAGGAAATGTTAATTAACCATGGAGGTCAACCAGGTTATACTCAGGGCATATGGCTAACATAAGCATTTAAATTCCAAGTGCATACGATGTTGACATTCTTTGTTTTTCAGACATTCTTTGGGTCTTGCATCCCTTTAACTGTTAAATATACTGTATGATATTGACATTTGTAAGAAAGATCTATTGTAGCAACAATAACTATTAAATGTTTTGATGATCATGGAGTCCATATTATTAAATTAAAGTGATTTTACATATCTGTTTCACAATCGAGGCAGCAATTTCCTTGCGACAGTATTAAATTCATAGTATAAATGCTTCTATCGATCCATTCGTTTTGCACTGTTGCTTTGTCTATTTAGTAGATCTCCTTTACAGTTCAACCAAGGTTCTCAGAGCTAATTTGAAGACAATTTCAAATTTATTCAATATTTTTGGAAGAACTTTAACAGATTTTTTCATTTTAAAATAGATTTTTGTTCTTTATTTGTCGATTTCGGTGGGAACGAGGTTGCCGCGATCGCACCCCCCTGTATTCTATTTGCTCCGATATATCACGTGACAAAATAATCCACAATTTGTGGATTATTTCACCAGCCTTTACCAGGGCCTTTGCTGCCCTTCGCCTCCTTCCTTAAAAGGCCCTGGGGACGAGGTTGAGTGTTGTCATGGAAATGGCGTAAGATCCGCCATGTTTTTGCGGACACTTTTTTATCCCGAGCAGGTCCTCCAGTAATATAGTATAGCTCAGTGGGAAGACCTTGGTAAAATACAATGAAATCTCCAAGATTTTGGAGATTTATCGCATACGCAGTAACGACAACGTTATGTTGCTGACTACAATTAGCGCTGGCGCTTACGATTTTCGTGCTTAAAAATATACATGTTTTGTTGATAGTTTATGGATTTATTCTCAAAGTTTTAACAACTTTTACGAAAAATACTTCAGATATAAGCTGTGAACACACATGTACACAAAACTGTGCAACATTCATCATCATATTGTATCAATTTGTCGGAGTATGGCGCTCAAATTTGTGACATTGTTTTGTTCGCTTTGGCAACCCTCGTATATATCAGATGCTGTTCGGCCTCAAATGCGACTGAATAAACACTGATAGTGTTGCCTGGAATATAAAAAGAATACTGACTTATTGTTCTGTATATCAAGGTATGTAATGTACATTTATACTGAATTTATTCGATTTTTTTCACACGTTGCTTTCACATTTCCTCAGAGTCTCGGAAATCACATTTTCTAATAAACTCAGTTTCACACATACAGAAAGACTTCTTCAGAAATCACAGTTTTTAACATATAGAAAAACTTCATATTATCTCATCAGTTAATCAAATTATGATAACAGTACGTAGTAGAAATGCTTAGAAAGATTTTATTCTGTTTTCCATATACAATGTACAACTGTTATTTCAATTTTCTCTTTCCTATATTTTCTTTAAAGCAGGTACTGTTCTGTTACAAAACAACTAATAAACATTTTATTATTTGAACAGGTGAACCATATTTTACATGAACTTGGGGAAAAAACAACTTGAATTCCATGGAAATATATATAATCATGTCATCAATCAGATAGTAAACAATCATCAAGATGGCCTCAAGATTATATTTCACAGTGACCAACATGAAAAATTTTAAATGGGAGTTAGTTGATGGCATTATAGTTTTCTAATGCTATATAATTTTGTTCATCAAGGTGAAGAAACCTTAACTCACTATACCTTTTCCTGTTACAGAGCTATGGTAGTAATCTTAGAAGATTTTCATGGTCCCTCTATTCAGTAGTTCTTTAACCAGTCCAGTCTATTATATTATGTTAAATAGCCTTGTGTGACTTTTGTATTTTGTTTCTTTAATAATATTCACAATAATCAAAATTACAGTTTAATCTTTGTATTTCTAATGATAATTACTTGCACATATCCATCACACTTCTCTGTTACTATTAAACTTATTACTATCATGCAAGTAAAATCTCTTGGGAAAAATAAAATGTTGTCCCAGGATAGTCATAAATATCAGCTAGTAAAACTAATGAATATACCTTTTATCATGTACATATGACTACCATATAATATGTTGTAATTCCTTTAAGTGTTTCCAATTAAATAATTCAGTTGTTCATTGTTCAAACTAATTTGAAACCTACAGTATATGTAGTTGCTATGATTCAGATTAATATCCAAAAGTGTGCCTTTTACTTCAGTTAGACTGCTCCCTAATACAGACACTTTATTGTGCCACTCCAATGTTCATTCAAAGTGATCCAACTGACATCTGAGCTGGTGATAATATACAGCAAAGTATTAGAAGTATGAGTATATCAGATAAGTTGTTCATTCAGTCAAGACCTTCAGGTTGTGCTGATCATCATATCAAACTCCATCACATATTGTGCCTTAAAAACATATATACAAATTTTGAAAGTTGTTGCAGCACACTGGGTCATTCCATCTAATATAGCCCCCCCCCCCCACACCCTATTGAGGGGTCTCTTCATAATACCTTTAATAATTTTGGAACCCCATTGGATGCAATTTTGGAACCCCTATGGATGTCTTTCTACCCCTTTAGGATATTGTTCCTGCCCCTTTGGATATCACTAAAACACCTAATTTTTAGGAAATCTCTTAAGCTACCCTTCAGAAAAATTTAAGGTAAAAACCCCCTCTATAAAATCCTCATATAGGATATACAGACCTCAATAGACAGTAGGGGGGGGAGGCTATTAAATGGAATGGCCTATTTGACTTGGTGAGTGGTGACTACCACCAAAGGAAAATGAAACATGCTGGCCTGCTTTACATACAGAATAAATTTTGAAGCATTTCTACTGTTACTTGTAACGATAATCACATTTGATGAGAAAATATGGAGTCTTTCTGTATGTTAGTGATGTGATCTCATTGTTCATATTAAAAGCTGAAATAGTTTGAAACTCGTGTGAAAATAAATCCAGTATAAATGTACAGTACGTACCTTGATATACGGAACAATCATTCAATATCATTTCATATTCCAGGCAACACTATCAGTGTTTATTCAGTCGTATTTGAGGCCGAACAGCATCTGATATATACGAGGGTTGCCAAAGCGAACAAAACAATGTCACAAATTTGAGCGCCATACTCCGACAAATTGATACAATATGATGATGAATGTTACACAGTTTTGTGTACATGTGTGTTCACAGCTTATATCTGAAGTATTTTTCGTAAAAGTTGTTAAAACTTTGAGAATAAATCCATAAACTATCAACAAAACATGTATATTTTTAAGCAAGAAAATCGTAAGCGCCAGCGCTAATTGTAGTCAGCAACATAACGTTGTCGTTACTGCGCATGCGATAAATCTCCAAGAATCTTGGAGATTTCATCGTATTTTACCAGGGTCTTCCTCAGCTCACGCGCCACCACGAGGAAGACCCTGGGGACGAGGTTGAATTAGCACTTGAAAAACTTTGAGGGCCGCCTGGGCCTGGGGACGAGGATGTTGAAAAACAACCAATCAGAGCCCGACTTTCACCGGTGTTTCCCAGGGCCTCAGTAAGCCTCCACAGAGGATTGCGGGCTCTGGTTTCGAGATTGCCGTTTAACATGCCTTGCAATGGTCAAAATCTTTGCGAGACAAGTTGCATGAAGCATTGCACAGAATAGAAGTCGGTTCTACTTTTGGCAACGATTGCACTAATTATTTTTAGCATTGCAGCGTGTAACATGGCTTCGTGCAACTTGTCTCGCAATGTTTATAGCTTGGAGAGTTCCTATTGGCTCTCCCCAGTACACGCTTTATTTTAATTACAATTTGGCGTCAAATAGCGCCTCTCCCTAGTCTCTTCGCATGCCTCTGTCCCCTATCGTTGCGAGTTGCATGAAAATCATTGCAGCGTGTAACACCTCTTGCAATGCATTATCAAAATCTTTTTTTAAACATTGCGAGACAAGTTGCATGAAAAATTGCACCGTGTAACAGGGTCTTAAAGGGGGTTCATTTTCAATGATTTTAGATCCAACTCTCAACGGTGAAAATATGCGATTCTGACTAACATTTTTTATCGGATTCGTATTTGCTCATTTTTTATCCATTTGGCATGAAGAAGATATCATTCAACAGCTAAAAGCATGATCTTTCCGAATGTGAAAAAAATCTCGTTCATACGCAGAGTAATTCAGATACAATAGCGCGCTGAAATTGAGAGCCTTGGCCTCCTGTGGAGAAACGTCTGCTTGCAGTGTATAAGTTCAGTCTACGCAAACACAACTATAGTTCAAAAAGTTGCATTTCCAGTATCTCCCAAAAATGTCGGTTAACCGAGGGTGAATGACCTCTGGCACTCATGCAGTCTCAGGTTATCAATGTATACTAATATATATGTATGAAATGTCCAATCTTGTATTCGTTGGTACGCGGATGCAACTACATGTCTCAAACTCATTAATACTATAATTCATAAGTAAATTAGAGAACCATATTGCTTCATTTTGCTCACATGATAATACTGGATACATGGGGCCGGTTGTATAAAACTCTTAATCACTTTTTTAATCACTATTTTGTAGTTAAATAGTGATTAACTCTCAAATGGGCGCTTCGTATTGGATGACGTTTTCACTTAATTATAATTAACTTTAATCACTTTTTTATACAACCGGTCCCTGACCTTGGACTGGATCAAATTAATTAAGTAGTGATTTATTCGTATGAGATGTCATTTCAAATCCTCCAATTCGGACTGGACTACATTTCAAGTCCTCGCATTTTGATCCAGTCTTCGGCTTATCCTTAGACTTGATCAAATTGCGCGGACTTGAAATCTTATCCGTGCAGTCCTCATAGTCGGATTTGTGAAATATTACGAAAGATAGTATCAGTGGTGTAGTGGATGGGGCTCAGGGGGGGCCCCTTGTTAAAATTTCATGTTGACTTGGGGGGGGGGAGGGCTGAGCCTCCCTCCCCCTATATGTTTTGCACGTTGCATAATCTTAACAGTAATCGAGAATGTTCTTTAGAATTGGATTTCATTTTCAGTCATCATTAACACGATAATGATTTTTGTAATCTTTACTTAATCGCGTTGTTCATGCGCCGTAGCAAATTGGCTAGCTGTTGAAGTACCGATCCTGTTTTGTCTGATTTAAACTCTGTCCATATCATTTTCACTTGAGTGTTTTCGTTTTGTTGATTTTATATACCGCTAACACAGCTGCTATTATAGAGCTTTCCCGAAGATATTTCAAAATATATGTTGCTGTTTATAAATATTAGGCTGTTAGCAATATGGAAAATTTAGACCAGGAATCTGAAAGTCAATTCCAGCCAGAAATTTTGATATTTTCTGAACCCCGCTCTCCCACTGGGCGAAATTGCTTGGAGGAAGGGAAGTTCACCGCGTCCTACTTTTTCACGGCAATTTTGTTTCGCTAACCAATCATACCACTGAATGTAGTTTTCGCTTGAAGGTACACCACCGGCTTTACATCTTCAAAAAGTAGTACAGAAACCTTGAATTCCATACCCTTTTGAGACGCTCAGAATATTTTATACTGATAACGGCAATTGTTTTTAGTAAGAATAATTTTGAACGTTTGTCACACAATTACTAGGATAAACCCCAACAAAATTTAGAATTTCCAAAATAACATATTGTACCCCCACCAATTCAGGCCATGCACTTTCGGACAGCCCCTCTTGTTAACATTCCAGGACTACACCACTGCATAGTATAACAAGAATTTCGACGTTTCGAGCGAACGCTCTTCGTCTGGAGTTATGCTAGTGCCGATCCTTCGTCTGAAGGGCCTTCGCTCGAAACGTCGAAATTCTCCTTATATTGTTCAGGTAGGTGCATCCCTACTGACGAAAACGTGAGCATGCTGAATGCCATTGATGTCCATGCATGCATAACTCATGTTTGTTTGTTTTGATTTCTTTAGTCTGTTGCTGAAAGAATTATTTGATGTAACATCAGAAAGTGGCGGAGATAATGAAATGCAAACATTTGACGACGCATCACGCTCCTTTGGTCGAAAGAATATCCTCAATCATCTCAGCCTTATCGATAGATATTTCGCAGAGTTTCAGAAGAAACTGTCAAGCTCGGAACGTCCAGCTTCGCTATCCTAATGCTACCTCAAATAAGGTTGACCTCGGAAGATTAAAACTAAAGATATACTTTCTTGTTGTGATTGAACAAACTATACGTATCAAAACTAATATTTAGGAATATATTTAGGTCAAAATTGGAAAAAAACATTTCCATCCCGGTCAAGTATAGGATAAGCGTTCATATGGAAAATTTTATCCCTAGCCGTGCTGGCTCGTCTCTCATATGTGATATGAACACACAATATCCATATTAAAAATGACATGCGGATCTCACACAGGTACTGGGTTCATATGAACTGCAAGCCCTTACTCTATAGTGACATTATGACAAAGGAAACCTTACAACGGACAGTAAGTTCAGGTCCGTCTGTTTTGAATTGAATTTATACTACTGCATGATTAATTATCTCTGCCTCCAAACAACAGACACCATTCTTTATACCAAGGTTATCCGCGAGAAACCTTTCTGTGGCACGTGATTATATATATACGATTGCATATTATCTTCTTTCTTTGGCGATGACAACTCTTACAAATAACGCTCTGCATGAAGAGCATGTTTTGGTTGATCTTTTGAAAAAAGAACTGGCCATTTTTTGTCGCAAACACGTCGAATAGAATAAATTGAGACTGTAAATGCCAATAAATGTTATTGTACATAACACTGCACTATAATATATGCAATAATTTATTATCTAATTCATACCCATGACCATACGATAAAAGGCTATTATTCTCTTTATGATGTACAATTAGTGTTGAATGAAGTAAAATGTGTAATTGTTGGAATGAAGTATAATTGTTGGTAATTTAAATGACTATACGGGATCAATGCAATGACGTTTTTTTATACAGTTAATTCAAAAAAACTGGTTGTCCTTTGCAAACTTTAAACTCTAAACCTTAAACTCTAAGCGTGCAAAGCATAATGGGAGCATCATTTAATCAGTTTAAAATCCTATATGGAGCCCATTTCTTAGAGACATAGTAAATATATATATCTCCTTACGAGAACAATTCATTCACAAATAGCTGCAATATTCAACTACTAAGCTTGAAACATGTGCTCCCATTAAGCTTTGCGCGCTTAAAGTTTAAGGTTTAGAGTTTAAGGTTTGCAAAGGACAAACTTTTTTTGAATTGGCTGTATACAAAAAACTTCCAGCCACAGGTTTTGTAATTATTTTTGATGCGTATATGATTTGAACACCCTAAAGTAGCTGCCCTCTGAACATAGGTCAGCATGATCTGGTCGAAGGCTTTATAAGGTCAAGGGCGCCACTGGCAACCTCCTTGTGACACATGTCTGATCGCAATCAATTTCCGTTTAATAATCCCCTCTAATATTCACCTGCAATTAATAATCCCCTCTAATATTCACCTGCAATGTCTTTGCAGCACAAAAAATGAGAAAAAAACAACATCGCGAAGGCAATATGGCATTGAGAATTATTTCTTTTCTGACTTATTAACGCGACCTCGCAGTGTGAAAAATAAGTACGTTATTTTGAGGCACCTCGGGGATATGTGTTTATTCACCTCGGCGCTGCGCGCCTCGGTGAATAAATCACATATCCCCTCGTTGCCTCAAAATAACCTATACTTATACAGAGGTCAGAGCCACTCAGAGGTTGGATTCGGACAAAAACCCGTAACCGGCCACCATGTAACTGTTATGCAGTCATCATGCAGCTGCCATGTTCCGTAGCCAGTGCATTAGCGAGAGGCATTCACACTCCTCTCTGAACGCCTGTCATTTTGGATGACCGTCTCTCCTTAGCACACACTGTTTGCACACTGGCTATAAACATGGTGGTAGTTATGCCAACTTCAAATTTATCGGTGGATATGAACTTTTATAATACTATGAAACTATATTTATGCATATGTGACTGTGAATGTAGGCTAGTCATATTATCAGTATGATGACAAATATTATCAAAATATTTAAAAAATTATAGCAAAACATTTAGACTTTGGTGATGCCAAGTCTAATCATTGATGCCAATGCTCTCAATGTCTGCTGCAAACAAAGTTTTCAATTACGGCTGCTACAGTGAACTCCATATATGTATATCTGGAGCAAGAACTTCAGTCATTCGGCCTATGAGAAAAGTGAAGCCAAGATGGCGGCCATTGACGTCCAATACCGTAAACCGCCGACTATAAGCCCTGGGCTTATATACTTTCGTAAGCGATTTTTGGTGGGCTTACTCAAGGGGGGACTTATATGCGGGTGGGCTTATACATGTGTGTTAGTAATAAACAAGTCAGACAAACAAGTCAGTCATAAACAGGGAAATAAACGTGTATTAAGCAGCGATTACTGGCCCATTAAATTGGGGGACTTATATTCAGGGGGATTATATTCGGATGGGCTTATATTCGGTGGGGGGTTATATTTGGAATGAGGTGAGCGTTAACGTTAGTACATGCATGTGGTGGGCTTATACACGGGGGGCTTATATTCGGGGGGCATATAGTCGGAGGTTTACGGTAGTTCTGATCGAAGGTCGTAAACAGCTTTTATACCATTTTCTCCAGCTAAATCCAGTTTTTTCTAACGGACCGTGTCACTAACGAAGTTATCAGTTCATAAAACCATAGTCAGTTCCAGTCCCTTTCTATTGTTTTTGTCTGCGCGGTTAACACTAATTAGCTGGCTTCAACTTTTGGACTCGAGTTCTCGTTCCAGTATATATGGAGCTCACTGCTCTACTATAAATAACATGCACTCGACATGTTCACACATTGAACTAATTACGGTAGTAGCTATCCGGTATATATCTTACCTTATTATACTTTGCGAATCTGCTTCTATGCTCTGCTTCAGAAACATTTAAAACATATAAACTTAAAATGTGGTAATCGGCCACATTGTAGTCGAAGAAATACTGTTATGTTGCAAAGTAAAGCGTGGAAATACAGGGATTGATAGGGAGCGGTCATTAATTATTGGGGGGGGGGGTGGTTATAAAAGAGGGCCCAAAAATACATAACCCACCTAAAATATCAGCCCAAAAATCTTGGCCCTCCCCAATACTTTCGCACAGAAAATTGTAGCCCTCCTTTTTCTCAAATATGTTGCATTAAAATTTGATTTGTGAATATGTAATAATTGTGTCATCAATTTTGGGACAACACGTATTTCTTAAATCAATCGCATACATATTTTTGCTCTTCCAATCCAAGTTCTACAAACTCTCCCCGATCTTGTGATCTGCAGAAAATTGGAAATGTTCTCTTTCTCAATGTCTGTCCCTTCACAGTTAGGATCTTCATTGTCTTCCTTATCTTCATCGTCTTCAATATCATCATCACTCCCAATTTGCTGTTCCACAATATCTTCTTCGTCATCATCGCTGTCATGGTATTCATCGATGTCGTCGTCACTAGCATCATCACGGCTATTGAGTACAGCGACCTAACATTGTCTGCTGTTACGATATCCACTTTCTCCCGTTTCAATCCACCTTTTGAGTGCTTCAACTTTCGCTTACCAATATACAAGTCCAGAACAGCAACTTTCAATTTCACCATGAGCAATGCAAATCTTCAACCATCCGAAAAAGTGAAGCTAGAAATAAAAATTTAGGCTGGATTCCAAATCCACGTACCGGAATGAACAAATTCTATAACGATGTTTATGAATCATTCTATTTGGAGCGTAAAGGAGCATTCTGTAACACGAAAAAGGACTTCAAGAAGGCATTCCATGCCAAAGCCAGACGTCAGTATGACAATGAGATGATTTCAAAAATCAAGAAGCAGGCACAGCATATTAAGTCTGAAAAGGATCCTTCGCAGGCTGGGTATTTTCTCAGGGAAATCATGTGCTAAAACCGCATAATAGTGGAACAATAAGACAGAAAATAATTTTTCTGTGTTGGTGTTGTGTACTCAGGTGAATATGATGCTTTGTCATGTTACTCTGAGTGTATATCCACACCGGGCAAGCTTGAAAAATATGCCTGACCACGGTGGGAATCGAACCAACGACCTTTGGAATACTAGCTCAATGTTCTGCCAACTGAGCTACGCAGTCTGGTCGGTTCGAGTTTGTGATATTTCGGAACAGAATCTAGTTCCTTCGATATCAATGTCATCTAATAATAATCATGATTTTTCTTTGTTCTGTTAGGTCACATCTTTAGATGATATTAGTTATGTTGCATTAAACTACAAATATGAATTTGGGGCACCTGACCCTAGCCTGAGAAATCCAGACCCCATATCAGGTGCGAGCTGACTGCCTGACGTGGGGGTGGGGGGAGGGGGTAACTGCCCGTGCTTGACATGAGGTCTAAATTTCTCAGGAACCTGACCCCTATTCTCGGCAAAAGAGACTGGGCACAGTCAATGTCAATAATTGTCATGCAAACAATATATGTTGATATGCATTGTTAACCAAATATCACACACAGGGAATCGACCATGCCCATAGAATTTTTCACACGAGACTGATAAATAGAAAACAGAATCTAAACTATGAATCAAGCAATATTATTATAGCCCACTGAAGTTACTGAACTGTATAAAATGAAAGGTTAAAACTTCAATCAATCTCCCAATCAAAAAGTGAATGTCATAGACACGTTGTTTGACTTTGAAGTACAGTATAAAAATCATTAGCATACGCGTTTCCCTGATATGTCACCACCCGTGAGCTCGGCAGCAATAAACCTTTGTAAATCTCATAATGAATAAAGTATTTTTAATAAAATTACAAAAGAGATTAAATTACAAAAGAATGAAACATCATTGTTGTAAAGCTATATATTACTTATTAATAATTTACATAAAAATGTTCGAGACAATTGTAGTTTTAACTTACGCGTTTATAGCGAACATTCCACCTGCAAAGTTTTCCTGGCTTTGTTATATCACATTATACAACACTAACATCTTGAAAATTCCACTCAACTATGTAATTTTTGTTAGTGTTGTTTAAGGTATAAATGCTTTTCCATTTAAAAATGAATTAGATAAAAGCCATATTTTCCACGCGAAGGCGACTTTTACTTTATGTAGCGCGGCGCCATGTTTGTTTTGTTTTGAAGCAATCTGTGACCGTTACTTCTTTAAACTATATTGCTTTAAACTGATTGGTTGATTTAATCATCACAATGTTTTTCCACCAATCAGATGAGTTTGTTATAGATTTTTGCACTGTTATTACAGAAAATTGCACTGTGATTACAGAAAATTGCACTGTGATTACAGAAAATTGCACTGTGATTACAGAAAATTGCACTGCTGTTTGGGATTAACTACACTGAAATCAACCAATCACAGTCGAGTAATATCTTTATGTATATTATTAAGCTATAAATATGTACTATATCTATGTGCTATAAATATGTACTATATATAGTCTTGCCGAAAAACGGCTTGTGAAACGTCTTGATCATGATGAGATTAACATTCGTATTCTTCAACAATTTAAAATCAGTTCTTTGAATGTTTGCATGGCGATAAAATATAATTGTTTTTGTTTGTGGAAACACCACGTAAATTTATTGCTGCACATATTATTAGCACTGATGAAGATCCGGGCTTACGGATCGAAAGCTTTGCAGTAATAAATTTACGTGGTGTTTCCACAAACAAAAACAATTTAAAATCAAATTAATGATCTTTGGTGAGAAAATTAAACTTTAAAAAGTTTATGTAAATCACATGACATGTAATGTGTATATCACATATACAAACTCCTTCACGGTCATGATTTAGTTTGTGTTTTCGTCATGAATTATTAATGAGTTTCACGAGTACAGATATTGTTCTTCAACAAATCGGATACTTTTACTTTTCAACAACTATTAATGCTTGTCATGCACTTATCAAAAACAGTAGGTAGCCACCTTAGGCAGCGTTTACACTGTACCGTTTTCGTAGCGTTCTCGTATTGTTCGAGAGAACTAGACTATTGTCTTGCCTTCCCTTGAGGATTAAGAACAATACGAGAACGCTACGAAAACGGTACAGTGTAAACGCTGCCTAAATCAGCACCATACTTAATACATAGTACAAGCGTTGTACGGTCTTAATACTTTTGGAATTAACTTACAAAATAATTACTGCAGCGTAACGACGTTGGCATAAGCTTCTTTTTCATCATTCTGTGGTGTAACATTTCCATACGTGGTTTCACCAGCTCTAAGAATGTGGGTAATATCGGCGTACTCTGTTTGATCTGACTCTGCAGGATGTTCGTTTACACTTTTTCCAGACTTCATATGTGACATCTCAGTATAAACCAAATCATTATTGTCACCCTAGTTTATAGAATATGCGTTGTTTGTATTTACCGTCACGGGCTAGAACACCATGCATGGACATGTTGACATTTTTATCATCATGGACATGGGTATATATTTCGCTACAAAATCTCATGCAATAATTCTTGTGAGGTAACAATTTTTAAAATAAGTTTACATTGATTGTCATGTTCCGTTGGCGGCCATGTTTATATAATAACACATCTGTAGCATAAAATACTTTTAAAATTAGTATATTTACAAAGTAAGACAGCCAACTCCGGCCAATTTTTCGAATTCACGCATTTTAGTCTAGCCCAAATAAATAGTCCATCATATAGATAAACATATAGAATATCATCAGATTAAAGACTTTATCTGAAACTTACAACATGCAACCCTGAAAAAACAAACATGTTTTACTTAACATCTAATGAAATTTATTACATATCATACCTTTCCATTTTTCTTTTTTTCAGCGCTTGGGTTAACTACAGTGTACACATCACCATTGACTGGTCCAGTCACATGGTCAACTGAATTTTGCCTGTAATATATTCCAGAAAGGATGCGATATTAATAATAATACATACAAAATAAAAATATAACACGCAGCATATAACATAGTCTACGCCATACCATACGCAATTAGACCATAGTAATTATATAAAAGAGTATTAGCTTTGAAGAACTGTATAAAGTTGTCGTTGACAACGCCAATGGGTCTCAAAATTCTAACAGTACGTATGTTGTTAACCCGTTTTTAATATTTTAGTGTGCATGTATTTACTTTCAGTATTGTCATTTTAATGCATGATATTAGCATTTTCAACATTAAACAATTATTGAATGAGGTCGAGCAAAATATGAGGAATTATTAAGGCCGAGGTTTGTGTTATCTGCCGAAGCAGAAGGCTGAGGCAGATAACACAAACCGAGGCCTTAATAATTCCTCAAATCGTGCGAGAACCGAATTAAATAATTGTTTTAATATTTATTTGTCGAAATACACAAAAACGGTCGGCGAACCTTTCCTTTGAAGTGTAATAATGTTCGGATGTAATAATGTTCGTCTTTGATATTAACTTACGTTTGCTCGTCTTTGTAACCTTTTTCTATAAAAAAGAGATCGAACCAATTATTTGAAAACTTCACATGCATAAAAGCTTTATGCCATTGTGCGAAACATTAACTATATACAAATGCCTTATATTCACTCCACGTGACGAAACATTTATTAAAATACTTCACGCCAGGGCTTGTAATCAGTGCAACCTCTAAAATTGACATTATAACAAAGGAAACCTTTTTACGGACAGAAAATTCAAGTCCGCATGTTTTGAATTGAATACTGTAATAGTTCACATGATATACTGTACTAATTATGCAATGTTTTTTTCTCACTCGAAAACTTATGGTGACCACTCGGAAGACTTACACTGGCCCTCCATAAAAAGTGAATGATAACTTACTCGTAGATCTTCGTTTACACCAAAATACCAAGACGATTATAACAATTACCAGCGTTACCACCAGTGTAAGAGGAATAACGATAGTAGTAAATGAGACTCCATCATTATCTGACTTTCCCGCGGCATTAGTTCCTTCACCTTGTCCTTTGGTAGTCTGCTTCCGTGTGTTTTCTTTTGTTGGAATGGAGGTTGCTTCCGTAGTATTTGGTTCAGTTGTAATTAGGTTGAGTACTATATGAATGAAGCAATGTATGGAGTCTGAGAAGTACAATAAGTGGAACAACGTTAAATGACAATGACTCAATGAAAGGGGGCGAAAAACATATAACTTTATATATATAACCTTGTAGTAGAATTATTGAGATTGGGAATTTTATGCAAGTGTACTGAGGTTTGGGCATTAATTAAGGCTCTAGTTCAAGTTTTATAGAAAAATTAGAGTAAAATTGCCATGAACATACCTGCTGAGACTGGCCGGCAGTTTCGAGCACGCTCACAACTTTTCTTGGCTGAGCTTTGATTCAGCTGTTTTATGGCATGGTGATACGTCTTATTAGTCCGAAGTGTTATTTCAATCATATATCCTTGAATATTTGAACAACTAGTATCATTTGGTTTCATCCCTTTTAGGAACACATTTTGTTCATCCATATTGTTAGTAAACAATCTACTTAGAGTACCAGAGGCGGCTAAAACGAAACAAAAGAAAAAGTATCTAAGATTTTGCAAAACAACATCTATCCTTATCAGGAACGTATATACAGGGCCGCCCAGAGGTTGGCGGGGGCCCGGGGCAAATTTTTTTTAGGGGGCCCTACCTAAAATAATTTTTCCGGAAAAATTTTTTCCGGATATTATTTTGGCAACCTCCCCCCCCCCACCCCCCCGGCGCCAAAAATTTTTCGGTCAGTGTACCATTTTAGAGGTAAAAAAAATTTTTCGGACGCAAAATTTTGCCGGACGCGTACGTTGCAAACGCTTTCAAGTGACTTTATCTCATTTTTTAGGCCAAAATTCGGTACTTAGCCCAAGAAAACAGATATCTTGTCCTTTGCGGGGAAATATTTAACACACAAAAAAGGCGGGGCCCCTACAAAAATTTTTCAGGGGCCCCCAGCAACTCGGGGCCCGGGGCAAATTGCCCCCTTTGCCCCCCCCCCCTCTGGGCGGCACTACGTATATAGCAAAGACTCTGTCGTTGGGAGGGTGTAAGGGTATAAAAGCAGAGTATGAAACTAAGTGCATGTGCTTTTCCATGAGTACATTCAAGTAGCAGGTGTTTCTTTCGAAAGAGTATATTAGTACAATGCATGGGATACGGGGTTATATATTCGGGGTGGGGGGGGAGATTTGATGGAATGTTTCCCCGATAAAAAAAATCAAATATTTCGACCCTCAGTGATATCCCGGAAATACAACTCACATTTAACTTTCACGCCGCGCGGCCGATTACACTATGCATTAAGGCCCGGCCACACTACACACGATAACGATACGATAACTTGTATACGCGCGCTGATTGGCCAAAAAATTTATCATTATTGTCCGACTGAAAAAACATCGCTCGGGTGAGCGATTTTAAAATCGTTATAGACATTAAAAACAAGAATTTTATCATTTTCGTCGTAGTGTGGACACCAACACAATTTTTCGACGAATCATCGCGTGTTTACAAGTTATCGTATCGTTGTGTAGTGTGACCTGGGCTTTATCAATATTCGGGAGCCCAATTTGGAAAGGAATTTTGAAGTTTCCCTTGTGCTGAAACAAAATTTTTTCTTGAAAGTAAAATGCATGATTAATTGCTAATTCAAACATTTTTCTTTCCCAACCTTTGAGGTAATACGTTGTTTCTCCTGCCTTCTATTGCTACCTGCATGTCATGACAACTTGCACTCTAATATCGATTCTCGCAACTGAGGCAACTCGTATTGTAAGCTTGGCTCTTTACCTTCGCTTCGTACGCCGGAAATCATCTTTGCCGTCATGCAGCCAATAGGATATTGTAAACAGGTAATAGAATTAATCTCGCAATTCGTAAACCTGGCTCTTTACCTTCGCTCAGTACACCAGAAATCATCTTTGCCCTCAGCCAATAGGATAGTAAACAGGTTATAGAATTAGGATAATTGTATTCTGTATTACTATTATCTTACCTATTTTTTCCAGATTTGTTTTGATAGTGTTGTTTGTGAGGTTTCCAATTGTCGTTGAAAAACACAAAGTATTATTCTCTGGCGGCTCATTCTCACCAGTACTAGATGCACTCCCAGATGGAGAACTATTAACAGTTGGTGATGCTGAAGTTCCAGGTTCTGCAAAAGAATTCACATGCAACCTGTTGTTTTTTGTTCAACGATATCATATAATAACAAAAGATACAGCCTATAATATAGTAATGGTGTATATATATATATATATATATATATATATATTATATAAAAATGGAGATTAATTTTATATTGCAAAATCTTTATTGCGATTTTACATTATGTATTCTCAGAATTCTCTCACGTAAAGCAGCAAACATTTCTATTTGTATCATATCTTGTGAAACTCGTGAATAATTCATGAAGAAAGAAAAGTATAGTTGAAGAATTGTTTGTATAACCGATACAACACTGCCGCTCCTATTGTAAATAGTACATGCAATGTACTGTAAAGTGTATATTGAAAAAAGAAAGCAAATGCAAAGTAGACTAAATTTAGACTGACTGTCTACAATACTACAACAAACAGAAACTTATCGACAGGGGTGAGAAAAGGTATGAGCACGCAAATTTTTTACAGCTGCAGGAAATTAACCTATGGCTAGATTTAACACTAACATACTCTACAGGAATTGTTTTATCTTTAGGCTGTCTAGCTAAGATAATTATTTTTCCACCTCTGCATATCGATCTTGACTCTTAAGGTTATAATGGAATAAAATTTCCTGTTGAAAATTGTTGCCAGGAACAGTCCAATATTTAATGACACATTCTCCAGTAGTCCTTACCTTTTTTAATTGGACGCGTTCGTGGAGGAGTTCGTCGTGAAGGACATGCATCACAACATGTGATCAGTGCGGTCAAGACAACCAATATACCAATTGTTGTAACATGGTGATAATTGAAAAACTTCCCATAGTACTGTATACTGTACATTTTCTGAACACTAAAGAAAATTTAACAGAAATATCAGATTAAATAAAGGTACATGCAAACCTACAAAGAACTTAATATCAGATTAGTTTCTTAGTTAGTTAGTCAGTTAGTTAGTTAGTTAGTCAGTTGGTTAGTTAGTTAGTTAACGAAAACTGTAAAAATTGTCCTCTGAAAAGAGGCTATAACTACACGTAATACTCTTTCTTCGAAGCCTTTAAAATCATGTGATATTTTCCAACGATAAGACAACAATAATAGCCACATTGGAGCACCATGCTGGTTATTGCGTTAATATCAAAAGGCCAACTTAGACAGGACCATTTAAAAGTACTTTAGTGGAGAGTGATGTAAAAATTAAACATAGAGGGTGTTAACCATCTTTCATTGCAACTGCATGAGTGCTGAATCACAGAGTAGAGACATACAGAGCTGTAACTGACCGTCGTAAATACTGCGGAAGCTTATGTTTTCATGTACCCACTTTTTTTCAGGCGACCGAGCAAAAAATTATCAACTGCGCGTGCTCAAAATCAAGTGCGTAAAGTGAGACGTCATCAGGTCGTCGTAGAAATGGAAGTATTATAAGACAAAAAACTCTCATGATTCTCACATAATAGGTAAACCTTTATCTGCCAATCGAATCGCGTGATATGGCACTAAAAAATATTGCACCCGAAAAAATAATCTTGCACCCGAACAAAAAAATCTTGCACCCGAAAAACAAAATCTTGCACCCGAAAAAAAAATCTTGCACCACAAAAAAAATCTCGCACCCGAAAAAAAATCTTGCACCACAAAAAAGATCTTGCACCCGAAAAAATATCTTGCACCCGAAAAAAAAATCTTGCACCACAAAAAAAAATCTTGCACCCGAAAAAAAATCTTGCACCACAAAAAAAATCTTGCACCCGAAAAAAAAATCTTGCACCACAAAAAAAAAATCTTGCACCCGAAAAAAAAATCTTGCATCACAAAAAAAAATCTTGCACCACAAAAAAAAATCTTGCACCAAAAAAAAGGGATCGTACAAAAAAAAATTCTACCCCATGTCCCCAATGCGGCTCCGTATCATCCAATCAGATGCATGCATCTAGTAACTTGCCGAGCATGCGCACAAAAAAAGTGGGTACACTGGTTACAACTCTGTATGTCTCTTCTCTGTGGCTGAATTGAGAGCTCACCAAAGCTCACCGTGACTGCATACAGGCGGCAGGGGGAAAGGATGACTCGCCTGAGATGAGGATAGAGAAAAACAATGGTGCATGATGGGAATGATCATGCAAGGCTCAAATGCCGACTGGGTGCGAGTCAGGGGCAGAGAAGTCGATTTTGTCTAGAAAAAAAAGAAAAACAACAACGTCTTTCCTTGTTAATTATAATATTTCGTTGTAAACCGGAGCGCCGGAAGCAACGTGAAGAGGCAGGGTACTTAACGCCGGTATTCTAAAAGCTCACTCACACTCAATGAGTGGAGGTTTAATCTGAGCTTCTCTTGAGTGTCAATGCTGTTTTTTAATAGCTGAAGGGTGAGTAGTCACATGCTAAGGTATGACACTAGCCCTAGCTCCAGCTATTCAAAACCAGCAATGACACTTGAGAGAAGCTCAGATTGATAGAGCTTTTAGAATACGGGCGTAAGCCTCTTACCTTTCATCTCAAGGATTAATTTGACTGTTTATTATTTGAGGCAATTTTTTCTATGTCTCGTATTTGCGATGAAAAGTGTTCAAAACCGAAACTTTTTTTGGCATTCCTCTCAAAATTACGTTGTTTTAGCTTTAATTTGAATCTGGAGGTTGAGAAACAAAAAATAATCGATAAATATTGACAATTAAAACACAATTATCATTGATGCTGTAAAATTGAAGCCATATTTATACTGGTAATATATCAAGCTGAACAAGCAGAAATCATTTTCTCTTTGGCGTATCATCTAAAATCTCGGCTTCACTTTACAGATAAAGCACAATTTTACAGATAAAGAGCTAAGTTTGTTTGCCGCTTGACGGCTTGAGAAACGAATCAAGAATTTAAAAAATGAATATATTGTCATATTAACCAAGAGTGGAAAAGTATATTCGTTACTTTTGAGCGCGTGTTACGTAACATACAAAAGATTCTCCTCTTAAGCCTGTACACTAGCAATTCTGTCCGCGATTTTTCTCCTCCTGGCAAAATGTGATCGAATAAATGACATGTAGAAGACTTAGAATTGTTTACTTCTGAAAAGGGACTCTATACTTTTGTGTGCGAGTTCACTCATTTGCATCCGTCAGAAACACAAAATCGCGAACAAAATTGCTAGTGTGAACCAGGCTTTAATAAATTAACTGCAAGCTCTCGCAGTGAGCTTGCGAATTGAGTTTTGGAATGAGTGGACAAGAACTCTTATTTCTGAGCCATTTTTGTATAGGTGGCAATGTTTGTTACTGAACCGGCAACTGGACTCAGTTGGTTTGAGCGCTGCACTGCAGGAACAGGGGCGCACATTAAAAAAAACTTTGGGGGGTGTCCTATTTTCCGGGACCGACTTTTGTAGTATTTGTGTTTGATAAGAAAAGCCAACTATTTTAAGGTGTGCACAGTACTCGTGAACCGGTGAAAGTTCGGTTTAATTAATGTCACAGTCTTGTTAT